CTAGATGATCCATGGAGATCGTTCCAGTTCAACACTTCTGTGATTTTTAAGGCACCACCTGAAATGACCGTTGCCTGGCCTTTGTGACTGAGTCTTGCTTCTTTACAGATCCAGTTAGAATTGATTGGCTGAGGCTAGTTTGCTTTGCACAGTGAGTTCAAACTTCTGTGTTGCCGTTGGCTGTTTATTCATACTTTTTTTGGGGGGGGGGGAATCACGTACCTCAAGCTGTTTAGTAAAGAAAGACTCTTTTCTCCCCTAACATTGATATCTTTGTGTGTGCGAAGCCGGGGAATTCCCCCAAAAGAGGAAAACATGAAAATGTGATTATGCTAAACTCTCCAAAGCAGGGGAATTCACACGGCTGGTCATGTCCTCTACACACCTTTTCACCCTTCACTTCTGCCCCAGAAGTGGCCCTTCTGGGTTCCTTAAAAGCAAACACTTGCATAGGGCTAAGCCTATTAAGCACAAAGAAGCGTCTTTCTTTCTCTTAACCATTGATCAGCTGGACTGGACTAGTAAAAGCAAAGTGTGCTGCTTATATACCGCCCCACATAGCGCTTCAAGCACTCTCTGGGTGGTTTAGAAGTTAATCATGAAGGCTACACATTGCCCACCCCCCAGCGAGCTGGGTACCTTGAGCTGGCTACCTGGTATTGAACCCCAGGTCCTGAGCACAGTTTTGGCTGTAGGACAGCAGTTTAACCACTGCGCCACATAAAGATTAGGCAGCTGCGGGTCGGACGGCACTACAACTCTCCTGGTGGTAGATCCTGTGATTGCCAACTTTTGATTTTCATGCCAGCTTTTCCACACCGCCATGGGGGGGGGAGGGACTAGCAAGATTATGCTGTAGCAGTTACTTGGGGTAGAAGAGCATAGATTGATGGCCCAAATATCCATGCTGGGGTGGTGGTGGTGGTAATAGCTTCAACCATATAACTGGAAGTTAAGCCATGACAACTTCCAGATAATTTCACCTGGGTGACTGAGAATCTTCACAGATACTCCAGCGATATACTTTTGCATTCAAGTGAGGGTTTTCTGTTTCTCTTTTTGAAACCTAGCCAGCCAGTTAAGTGCCCACTGAGTGCATCTGCTGTGAAGAATGAAAGCATATGTCACTGTAATTCCCAGTGACCTTGAAAGCTCCAAACTCAAGAGTGGGCAATGCGTGGCCTACATGTAGCCTCCCTGCCCCCCAGTATTTCTGAGTCCCCCAAAGGCCACCCCAAAACCTGGGTGTCATCAGCATGCTGGCGGCACCAAAACCCCAAACGTGTATTTATTAAATAACATGGAAGCAAGAACTGAACCATGAGGGATCCCAGAGGCCAGGATGCCAAACACTACCTCCCCAGTGCCACCATCTGAGATTGCCCCTCCAGGAAGGACCATAGCCACTGCAAAATAGTGTCTCCAAGTCTCTCCCCCCCCCTCCAAGAAGGGTAGTCCAGAAGGATACCATACACAAGGGTGCGGAAAGCCGCAGAGAGGTCCAGCAGAACCCAGAGAGATTAATTCCTCCCTCCCCGGCCCCCACCACTTTCAGTTCCCAGCATAGATTATCCACCAAGGCAGGGCAAGCTGTCTCCATCGTAAGGCAGATAGAAATACTGTACAGTAGATCTCAAGAATCCAACCAAATCCAGGAATTCCTGAAGCCAACAGTCTGGCATGCAGTCCTGTACCTGGCACACAAATGGACCCTTGGAATATATTTTCCTTCTGTTGTTTTAGGATTTTTATATTCTCTCGTGCTGGCTTTTATCTTCGTTTTATCCTAGTGCTGTTTTGATCTGTCCGGATAGGGTTGTGTATTGGAAGCTTTTGTTGTGAATGATCAAGGGGACTTTTTGGTGATGGGTGACTTAAGAAAGTGAAAAGAAAGAAACAATGCCCCAGAGAAAAAGCCTTCGGGACTGCTTCCCTGTGAAATTAGTGCTGCTCCTTTGCTGGGTTTTTTCTTCTTCACCCTTTTCTCTGTGATAGGTGAGGCAGTGTGGTGTGGATAGAGCAGTAGGCCAGGACTCAGGAGATGACATTCCCGGAAAAAAAACCATGTTCTTCAAAACTCTGTGAAGGTCAATAGAAATCAGATGTGACAGGACAGCATGTAACAAACAAACAAATGAAAATGTATTAGAGGACGTCCTGAGCCAAAATGGATTTGTTCTGCTCGTTTCTTTGTTGCTTGCCTTGTTGCTAAGGCAGTTGTTTCAAACATATTTTAGCTCTTGCTTTATTATGCATTGAGCTTTCGGTATTACAAAACACCTTGTTTTGATTCAAAAGACAGAATAACAAAGTTTAGTAGGTAGATGTATAAAGCGTGTCAGGTCCCATGAAATTCTTTGCTAACCACATACATGCTAACTCTATTCAGAGTTTCATAAACAAAACCTTTGCTTATTCCCTAAAACCTTGGCTGAGTGATGTTGCCTTGCTCTGGGCTTCCTACTCAGCTGTGGGTTCAGCTCCAATTTTAAACCGATCCACTCCAGGTCATACGGACTCCCCTTGCTGATGTCTCTCGTGCACTGTGGTGGTTCAGTATTTCAACATCCCACCTGCATGCACAGACATCCCATCCGTGCCTGTAAAATCCCACTGATTCCAAGTTCCAGTTCAATGAGTGCTGGCTTGCACCTTTCTGTTTATTGCTACTGATACATTCATCTATTCCGCTGTAGTTTATTGTTACAACTATTCATGGCTATTACTCTTTTGATATGCAAAGTGCTTTACAGTCCTAATATCAGTCACACTGATTTTGGGTTCATAAACAACCTTGAATTTTCCACCAGCGCTGGGCGACAACCCCACTCCGAGGGGGTGGGTTCCGGCTGCAAACGGAACCAAATGGGCGTGAACACTGGCTGTGGGTGCATGGCACCAATGCAGCACTGCATGGCCACACGCCCACACAGCTTAGAGGGAATGTTGCTCCTAAATACATGGCTAGCTGTTGTTTATTTTATTGCCATAGCACCCCAATTGCACTCGATCTTGCCTGCTTTCAGAAGCTGAGCAGGGTCAGGCCTGGTGAGTGTCTGGATGGGAAACCACCAGGAATCTCCAGGAAAGGCTAGGGAAGACCCCTATCTGAAACCCTGGAAAGAGGGCGCAGATGGCTGTCAGGGTGGGCCAAATTGTCTGAGGCGGGCCAAGGGTCCGATTGGATAGACACCTAATATTCCTGCATTGCTGTCTTCTCCATAAAATGCTGTTGATGCATTTGGAATGGTTAATGGTTGCCCGTGCCAGAGTATATCATAGCATTGGTGGGATGAGCTTGAATAGAAAATGTCTGGATATTTGTTGATTTTCAAGATCCAAAGATATGGTGAGGGGGCTGCCTTGCTGTCGGTTGTGGAAGGCTCAGGGGTGGTTGCCCCCACTTGGGAGGGGTGGGGGTTGCACTGGGACACTTGAGAACCCTCCTTGAGCCACTGTGCTTCAGAACATGGCCCGCTGCCTTGCATGCCCTTGTGACTTCACAGTGCTTGCTCTCTCTCTCGCTCTCTCTCTTTCTGTGTGTGTATATGTGTGCATGCCAGAACAGTTTTTTAATTGGCAGGTGTAAAGAACTGGAGAGTAAAAGGAGATGCAGTTTATTCTGTCCGCCCGTCTTCACTGCAGATCTAGAAGATGATGGAGCAGTTTATTATTAGCCTTCCAGCAGGGAAGATGAATTAGCAGTTTGCCCGTTAGGAGGGGGTTCCCCCTGACGCATCCTTATTGTTGCTTTTCTTGGGAGTAGTTTGGCGTAGGTGCTGTACCAGGTCTGCACCTGCCTGCTGACCAGGTGGATCCAGGGCACAGGGACATGTGCCTCCCCATGATGGACATTGGGGGACTCTGCTTCTCCACAGAGGGGTTCAGAGGTTGGGAAGAGTCTGCTTCCTTTTTCTAACTTCATGGTCCGAGGGTGAAGCTAAGTGAGGAGGATGAGGAAGGGCCGAGGGAGCCGGCCTGTTTTCTGGGAGCCAAGCTTTCTTTCTGCTGGGGCTGGGGCTGACCTGGCCATTCTCTGGAAGCCTTCTCGTGCAGACCAGGGGCTGGCAGAGGGACAGCCTGAGCCATCCCTGGGCTACCTGAAAAGGAGGCCACCTTCGCACGGAGTAGGAAGGGAGAAAGAGTGACAGCAGAGAACCACAAACGGATGTATAGTCTCTCCAAGGAATGGTTTCAGGGGGAGCAGGCAAGAAGAGGTCATCCGTAGTGAGCAGTGAGCGCTGTGCATATAGGCGTGTTCGCCTTCGGGGGAATTTAGCAACAATTGGTTCTTTAGGACTGATCCGGCAGGAAGCGGACGGTAGAAATCTGTCCCTGTTTCTCAGAAGGAGGGAGGTAAATGTCGGGGTCATCCTCCTGCCTGCCGTTCAGGGCCTAATTGTTTGACAGGTAAATGCCCAGTTCCATTTTTTCACCTGTCCAGCAAGGGAAAGCAAAAGGCAGCTGCAGGTCCAGCGACTAGGAAAGAACAGAAACCTGAACAAGGAGAGGGTCCTCCTTCACCAGTGGTTCTGCCCTGCATTCAGGAGTGTCTCCAGGAGCATCTCCAGCATGGCAGCGTGGCTCACGGGTCTCTGCTCTTTTCCCTTCCCTAGTTCCTGAGGGAAGACCTGAATTACCATGACCCAACCGCCAAGCACAGCACTTTCCACGGGGAGGACAAGCTCATCAGTGTGGAAGATCTGTGGAAAGCGTGGAAATCGTCTGAGGGTAAGCCCCGCGTATGGCGCCTGAGAGAGTGTTGTGGTTTTTATCTCTCCAGAGGAAAAGAAGAACACTCTGATCAATATCTCTCTTGGCTGATTCTACCTTTTTTATGTATCTCCCCCACTCCCTTGACCCAGTTATGATCATACAGTATTTTTCTCTGGCTCGTAAGGGTGTTTGCAGACTGGCCAGGGTTAAAGTACCAGCAATGAATATTTTTTTTAAAAAATCACCTCTTTCCTTTCCCTTGTTCAGTAATCTAAGTCACATCAGGGGTCAGGTTGGCTGGGCGACTCCGGGGGGGTTTGGTGTCCCAGACATCAGGGCGGCAGAGAAATGAAAGGGGGCAAAAGAGAGCCATAAACGGAGCCCACGAGAAGAGTAGGGTGGACTGGATGGGAAGTGCCCTCTTCTCTCCAGGTGAAAGGTGGGTAGGTGGGTAGGTAGGTGAATGCTCCTGAACGCTGAACCCTCTGCCTCTAGGGTTGTGCTCTCAACTCACGGCAAAGCTGAGAGCTGCCAAGACTGTAGCCTTGAAGAGGAAGGATTAACCCCAACATTTCCTAATCTGTCCGTGTGCGGTCCAGAGAAGATCAGAGGGAGGGCCCTGTTTTCATCCAGGCGTGGTGGCAGCCCTTCAGCCCTCTGCAGTTGTCCAGAGAGCCTTGGGAGAGGCAGGTGTCTCTCGTCCTGAGAAAGCCCCAGGGTGCCAAAGGATGACACAAGAGCCGGTCACTCTGAGTGACCAGAGTAGTCCTTTGGTCTAGATGCGGGGTAGAAATCTAATTTTTTTTAAAAAATCAAGATAAATATCCCCATCGATGATAAGGCACGGTGTCACCACTTCCTTCCTGGCTGCTCTCTCTTCACCTCCCGCCTGCAGCTTCCTGTCAGTTTCACTGGCTTTTTGCCCTATGGTGAGAGGTTTCGAGAGCTCTTGCCTCTTCTTTACTTATATTTATTTTTCAAAGTATATTTAGCTTGCCCTAAAACTAAAAATACTTGCCCTAAAGCTAAAAATACAGGATGCAGTGAATTAAGTTAACAGAAACTAAGCTAAACCACTCCGAAGAGTTTAAAACAGTGTAAAACACCTTAGAAACAATTTGAAATAGTTTAGCAATTCAAACATTCAGGAAACCAGAAACTGAAGGATTGGATAATGGACTGTAACTTAGCATCCAATTTAAGTTTGGCGCCATGGAATGGAGATGGACCCCGGCATAATCCCAAGTGAGGTCCTTCCTCCTTTGGAGGAAAATGACCCAGAAGAAGTGGCTTTCTCAGCTCTTTTCTTTCCTTTGGCTGTTTTCCTGGCCAAAATAATGATGATGATAATAATAAACCCAACAACTTTCTGTGATGCCATCAAATTGGAAGACCAACCTTTTGCTAGTTAGTTACACAATCCAGACTTACGGGTGAGAGTGTGTTTTTGAAGGTGCTTTCTTTTTGGTATCTGCAGTGCCTGGTAAGAGTTACGGCTCACTTGAGTTGGTCCTGGGTCACCCGAAGAGCCTTTGTTTTTGAATTTACTAAAAAAAATGAATACAACACTGCAAGAAGCTAATAAATGAAAAAGCTGATTTCCCATGAAAGCCCATGAGGAGTGCACCTCACAACAAGCTGCTGACTAATCTGGGAAAGAGCCGCCGACCCTGCCAGGCTGGCCCACCCTGGTGTAAACCCTGCCATTGCCCTTCCCTTTTGCCCACCGTGCATCTCAAGGAGGTGGCGGGTGGTGGTGACCCTGCACCCTTTCTGTGGGCCCAGTCCTGGCATCCCTTTTCACATGCTCTGCTCACAGTATCCCAGCATCCTCCCACGTTACCCTTTCCGAAAGGATGGGCACGCCTCCTTCTTTCTTCTGGTGGGCCCAGGCAGGGTAAGTGGGAGCCTTTTGAGGGGTCCTGTATCAGCAAATCCTCCAAAAGCAAGATGAGGAGCAGCGAGAGGGGAGGTCAGGGACCTGCCCCAGTGGCTCACCAGGATGGACGTCATGCGTTTCAGGGCTGATGGTGGTGTCCTTGGCTTTGCCAGGCAGGCAGGAACCCAAGGAAAAAGGGACGCAGCTCCATCTCTGCCCTGTCTTTTCTGGAGGCTGCAGAAAAATATCAGGGCTGGCTGTCAACGGGTGCCTTTGTTCGTTCATCTGGTCCCTTTGCTTGCCTGTCTCTCATAAAGAGGCTCCAGGCAGCCAACAACAATGAAGACACAAGTCAAGCTTAAAAGACCGTGCCCCCACAGTGACGTGGGTGTCTCTGTTTTTGCAGTGTACAACTGGACGGTGGATGAGGTGGTGCAGTGGCTGATCAACTACGTAGAGCTGCCTCAATATGAAGAAACATTCAGGAAGCTTCAGCTCACGGGCCACGCCATGCCCAGGTCAGTTTCGATTGTACACATGTGGACGGCACAGGGACTGGAAGGAAGGCATCTCTACGCAAAATAATAATAACAATAAAAGTGGGGGAACTAGAGCCAGTCCTGTAGCTTCCCATGGGACTGTGGTCTGGGCATCCTGAAGAGCTCCTTTCTTTCCTTCACAAAACAGGGGAGCTCCCTGGTTAAATAAGCTGCAAGCCAGCTTTTTCCTCCACCACAGAGGAGCATTGGATCAGGGCTACCCCCTGCATGTGCTCATTTTGGAAAATGATCCCTTGAAATGCTGTAGGAAGTCCGTTGGGGTCCTTTGAAAGGCCACCTCCAGCCCCATCATTTTTAAGAGAATTGCCATGCCAGCTGGTGGATTGCAAGGGCCTAGTTGTCCATTTTCAAACCGGGGGGAGGGAGGAATCAGACTGGAGGAGTCTGGCCTGGCCCCAGGAGATGCAGTGGGGGCCCAGCCAGGTCAAGGGGGTCCCATATGGGCTGCCCGCTTCCCCTCTGTAGAAGAAGCTGAGCTAATCCTTCATGTGCCACCTGCTTTCACAGGTCCACTGCACATACAGCTGTTGGTCTCTGACTTTCCCTGTCCTTGGCCCAATGTTCCCTTAAGTCAACAGGTTTCCATAGATTGCTGGACTTCAATCCTCATAATTCCCAAACAGTATAGTCAGCGGTCAGGGGTCTGAAGGGCAGAAACACCCTCAGGGAAAACCTGCAACTCCCATTTGGAACTTCCTGTAGCCTCTCTGGGGTTCTGGTGGCAGAGATCCCGAGCCCTCCGAGGACCCTTCCATGTCTGGGGTCCAGGTGTGCTCTGCTGAAGATGCATTTGTTGGCATTTGGGGTTGGAGCTCTCAGAAAAGGACCAATGCATTCAACCAGGGAGCTGCCTTGTCCCTTTGCTTTCCAGGGCAGTTTGCCCTAATTGGTGACCTGCCCCTCTTGGGTTTTTTCCACCTGAGAAGACCTGTTGCCTCCATATTTGCATGGCTCTCTGGCAGTTGTGATTGCTCTCGTGAGCTGCTGCCTTCTGGCCTGTGGAGATCAAGTTAAATGGGTTGAGCTTGATGGGAAGCGAAGAAGGCTGCACCGTGTGTTCAGTTCTAATCTCCAGTCTTGGGCATGGATGAGGCTTCAGCTGGCGTAGGGAACTTGGATGTTCTGGAGTGACTTGCAGCATGCGCACGCTCTGCGCCAAGTGCCTCTCGGCCATGCTTGACCTCAGCAGGGTGACATGACTATATGAGGCTTCCTTGTGCTCCATTCGCTTTTCCTAGCTGCCTCCCCTGAGAACCCATTAACGTTGCCAGAGGTGAAACCTGGGTCTTTTTTTCTGAATCCAAGCCACGATGGGAAATCCTGAGAGGCAGCACCTATTTCAGCCAGACGGCTTCGTTGATTCCTGATCCCACTCAAGATTTTAACTTCCCTTCGATTGGGTGGGACCATTTTCAAACATTTGGGGATGCCAGAGGCCAGCTTCCTGGATATCAGGGAGTGCAAAGGACCTTTCTGTGCAGAAACCTGCACTGTTTCAAGCGATGAAAATAGCTGCCAATGGCTGGGATTCCTTGCGAAAAGCAACGGGATCTGCTTGTGGAGCTCCTCCTTTTTGGCCATCAGTGCATCCTAGAAGCGCTGTTGCTGCTGAGGAGGGAAGTCGCCTGCCCAAGCTTTCTTTAAGTCTCTTGGCTGTTGTTCAGCGGAGCTCTGATGACCACTTACTCCCTCTCTCTTTTTCTCCTGGGTAGGTTGGCCGTGACCAATGCCACCATGACAGGCACGGTCCTGAAGATGACCGACCGGAGCCACAGGCAGAAGTTGCAGCTCAAGGCCCTGGACACGGTGCTCTTTGGGCCTCCTCTCTGTGAGTGACTTGATCACACTGGTGTCCCCCCCCCCCAGGGTTTGTGAAGGGTGTGTGGGAAATGCCTCCCAAAGGGGGGGGGCGGTCTTGCTCTGGGTGGTGGTCCAGAGGGCCCTTTCATTCTTGTGGCTTCCAGAGGTGGCTCTGGATGTGGAAGGGCCACAGAGGATGGGTGGCGCTTCTGAGAGAGCCTCCCTTGTTCTTCTCTGGGGTGCAAGGCCTCTTAGAGAGTTTTGTCACAGTAGAGGAGGAAGCCAATCACTCCCCTCCTGCTTACCTTGTTGAGTCTCAGGCAAGAAAGGATCCATGGCCTTTGGCCGATGGGCCGTATAAAAGTTAAAATTAAATGAGATTAAAACAAATTAATATACAATGATTGAAACATGTTAATATACAAAGCCAGGACTGCCCTTTCTGGGCAGGTACGTTACACTTATCTTCAGATCATTTGCTAAGAGATCCTTTGCTCTTAGAGCTTTGTAACAGCAGAAGAGTAAGCCAATAACTCTCCCCATGTTCACATTGTTCACGTCCTGCAGGCCTTCTTTGCTGGGCTGGGGCCGTCCGTCCGGGTCTTGAGGCTCCTGTGCCTGAGGTGCCGATGCAAAAGAGGCGGCTTCTGGCGGAGGACTGGTGCAACCGGACGGTTGAGGCAGGAGACCAGGGTCGGGGCAGGGCTCTGGAGTGGTGGATCTGACCCGGAGCCCGGCCTGGGTGCTCTTTGGGTTATGCTTCAGCCCAGGAAATGCTTAGGCCTTCTCATCCCTGTGGGAACTAATTTCCCTCATGCTCAAGCATTTGCATATCTGCTGATGTAAGAGGAGACTTGAGAGCAAAGAGGATGATTTATCTCTTGCTCCTCAGAGCTGTTTTTCCTGGTGAGACTCTAGACATTTAAAGTGGACATAACCCAGGAACGCAGCAGCAGTGGAGGCTGGTTTCTCTCTGGGCTTGGCAAACAGCTGGCTTCTGTGCAATGTCAAAGGATCTCAGGTACCCTGCCGGCTGGCTGGCTGGCTGGGCTTGTTTTGTTTGACTTTCCGTTCCTCTTCCTTTAAGCCTCCTCTCTGAAAGCAGATGAAGCTCAAGTGGGTGTCTGGCTAGTGGCCAGATGCTTTTTCTTGACCAGTTATGCCTGAGTTAAGAGTTTGGCTTTTCCTACATGGTTCTCTTCCTCCTCCTCCTCCTCCTCCTCCTCCTCCTCCTCCCGTTTTCCTCAAGCGGCCTAAGGTCATCTAGTGAGTGTTTTCTTGGCTGAATGGAGGACTTGAACCCAGACCTCCCAAGTCCCAGTCGGCCACTCCCATGGCTGTACCACACGGATCCTCTGGAGGGGACCCTTTTCCGTTGGCCAAACTCCGCCGTCCCTGGGAGAGGTCGCAGCCTGGTCGGTCCCAGGGCCCATCCCTTACCCTTTTCTGCTCTGCCAGGTCCTCCGTGCTCTCTCCCTCTTCCAAAACCTTTGTTAGCCTCAGGACCTCTGCGTTATTGTGGATTCTGGTTTCAGCCTTGCTGGGAATGGAAAAGGACTAGGAGCGCACAGGGCGGGACCTGCCGGCTGGCACCCTGCTTCCGATCCCATCATAGCCGTACGATGGGATCTGGACTTAGAAATCGGCTTCAGAGTAAAACAGTTTTTTAAAGGAGGAAGAAACAACAAGGGGAAGGAATAAGGGCAAACTGTTGTAGAACCTTGAAGGCTAATGGATTTATTTCAAGGCTAAGCTTTCGTGGATCAAAACCCACTGTTTCAGAACAGGAACTACCATTGGGCCTCCCCGTGGTGTCCTGCCGTTCCTGTCCTGGGTCTGCCTTGTTGCAGGTTGTTCCCGAACACCAGCCTGGCTGCTGCTTATAATCAGAGAACTTAACTATAGATGAAGGACTCGGTCCTGTGTTATGAGTGGAAGCTGGAGGCATGTTAAGTGTGTGTGATGGTTGGCAGGTTTCCAACACAATGCAGTGCTAAAGCATCCTTTGTGCACCGTGGTGTCCAGAAAGAGTTATATGTGGTGCGGACAGGTCCCAGATTAGCTGGACAGAAGGAGAGAAGTGGCTGAAGCCTCCTGGTGGGAACTCCCCCAGCACTTGGTTGCCAAAAGCCAGGATGATGGTGGTGATGGTGAGGTCACTCACCATGAATCTCCGACCAAGGAGAGGTTTATGGTTGCAGGAACAGAAAAAGCCTTGTTCTAGCTCAGTCGTGAATAGCTTTGCATACCGTGGACCATTAGGTGTGCCCAGAGTGGTACTATTTATCTGGATTCCCTTTTTAAATGTACAATTGCATCCACACATTTCCAAAATCCCTTTCAAATACGTACATGGTTTTCTTGGAGGGATAAGGATTTCACCCCCTTGACTAATGAGCCGCTTCATAGGGAAGGGGGCGCCTCAGCTGGCCCACCTTTGCCCCGTCTTTGCCTGCCTTAGAGTAAACGCATGCCTTGGCTGCAGGTCTGGACAGAGGCAGCTTAGGATCGAACCAGCTTAGGAAATTGCACCAGAAAAGCAGAAAATCCAGTTGTGGTGGCCACGGAGCCGAAGCGAGGAGCCCAGGAAAATACTTGAGCCGGCTGAGACTTCTCTGGCTATTGCTCGCTCTGAAATTCCTTTTGTATCACGCTTGGTCTCCATGGACTCCCGGCTGTTTGTTTACTGCTTTTTGTGTGTGTGTGTATGTGACCTCTATTCAGAGCATGTTACCATAGTCTCTTGAGACTGAAGGATGCCTACTAAGAGGTGTGTGTGTGTGTGTGTGTGTGTGTGTGTGTGAGAGAGAGAGAGAGAGAGAGAGAGAGAGAGACCCTGTCACCATAGTGCTCCTCCCTGGAAGTATGCAGCGCCTCCTGCTGGAGAGACTGGTGGGAACTAGGGGCCCCCAGGTGGTGCCCCCAGGATCCCTGCCCAGTCAGCTCCCATTGGGTGCCTCTTGGACCCGCAACACCTCTGCCGTTCTGTTGCTTTGCCGTAGTGGAGTTTCAGAGGACTTTGTCTTCCAGGGGAAGCCTTGCCCCTTCCTAAGTCAGTGCTGGCTGTGCCTTGAGGAAGTAATAAACTGTGAATGTTGTTGCCACAGGGAGGAGGTGGTGGTGGTGAAAGTGAATTCCTGTGTGGAGACACATCATAGGAGACATTGGGAAACTCTTCCCCTCGGGACCCGAAAGCAGGCGCTCCGCCGTCTGGTGCACGTAACCTGTGCTCTGTCTGGGCTAGGTGTCCCAATTGCCACGATGCACCCTCATGGAAAGCAAGAGCAGCAACTGTCTGGTCTGGAAAGGGAGCCCTGGTGCAGTCACAGGAAGATAAGAGAGGAGAAATCTGGCGTGAGATTCCTCTTGCAGACTCTTTCAGATGAAAGACAGACATGGAAAAACTGGCTGCTCAGGCCGTTGAAGGAGGGGTGCGTGGGTGTGGAACCCTTTGCCCAAGGGCTTCTGGCATCCCATGGTTTGGAGAGGAAGAGCCCAGACTCAGGTGTGGCTGAGTTACCTCTCCACTGGCCCCCAGCAAAGGTGCGTCTCACCTGCCGGCTGCCAGAGCAGCCCAGGTGGGAAATTACGTATTATTTATTTTAAATATTTTTATCACACCTTTCTCTTTTAAAAAGAACCCAAGGCAGCATCTTTAATAAAAGAACAATCTTTAAAAGCTAAAAACAGTAAGCATGCAAATATGAAAAAAAAGAATTAAACAAGTATTAAAAATGGTAAACAAAGTCAATGCTAAAACACATTTAAACAACAGAACGATTTCACCCCCTTGACTAATGAGCCGCTTCATAGGGAAGGGGGCGCCTCAGCTGCCCCACCTTTGCCCCGTCTTTGCCTGCCTTAGAGTAAACGCATGCCTTGGCTGCAGGTCTGGACAGAGGCAGCTTAGGATCGAACCAGCTTAGGAAATTGCACCAGAAAAGCAGAAAATCCAGTTGTGGTGGCCACGGAGCCGAAGCGAGGAGCCCAGGAAAATACTTGAGCCGGCTGAGACTTCTCTGGCTATTGCTCGCTCTGAAATTCCTTTTGTATCACGCTTGGTCTCCATGGACTCCCGGCTGTTTGTTTACTGCTTTTTGTGTGTGTGTGTATGTGACCTCTATTCAGAGCATGTTACCATAGTCTCTTGAGACTGAAGGATGCCTACTAAGAGGTGTGTGTGTGTGTGTGTGTGTGTGTGTGTGTGTGAGAGAGAGAGAGAGAGAGAGAGAGAGAGAGAGAGAGACTCTGTCACCATAGTGCTGC